GAAGTGTAAAACTAAAAAAAAAAGGAAAAAAAAAAAAAAGAAAAAAAAGAAGCATAATTTCTATGGCAATAGCTCCTTGTATTGCTCACAATTCTGTGCACTTTTTGTTTTGTTTTGTTTTGTTTTGTTTTGTTTTTTTAACACATTTTAGTATGACAAAATATAGTAATTAAGGCTGTAAATACATTGTAACATAATATGAGACAAAAACACACAAGCAAATAAAATAAATGTTTGGCCGGATTTAGCGGTTATACGGTTAGATTCGGACACCGATGTTATGTGTCTATTTGAGCCGTTTGTTAATCCATCCGTTAGTTTCTTCATTGTGTTAAATTTGAAAGCGCTCACTCAACAGGAAGAACAATTCTGAGCGTTTAATCAATTTCTCTTCCCTCATGGGACGAAGGAGGAGTGGCTTTTGAGCGGGTTGGGAGGGAGGGGAGGGGTGGAAATTTGTGTTTGTCGGTGTGTGTGTGTGTGTGTGTGTGTGTGTGTGTGTGTGTGTGTGTGTGTGTGTATGTGTGTGTGTGTGTGTGTGTGTGTGTGAAAGGTTGAGGGAGGGGTTGACGATAAAATGAGCTGTTTGACAGATGCAACAGAAGAACATTGATTTAATTTGAAACCTTTAGGCCAGGCAACAGAATAACATTTGTTTAATTTGAGACCTTTCCCCGTTTGAACAGGTTTTTCCGGTACTAATGCTGTCACGTATGTCCCTCTTTAAGTTCATCGAGGTCACAATGTCGTACAGGTGAACCTGTTGTAAGGACCACTTGTCACCTGTACAAACGACCACTTGTCACCTGTACAAACGACCACTTGTCACCTGTACAAACGATCACTTGTCACCTGTACAAACGATCACTTGTCACCTGTATAAACGACCACTTGTCACCTGTACAAACGAGCACATGTCACCTGTACAAACGACCACTTTTCACCTGTACAAATGACCACATGTCACCTGTACAAACGACCACTTGTCATCTGTACAAACGACCACTTGTCACCTGTACAAACGACCACTTGTCACCTGTACAAACGATCACTTTTAAGTGACCCTCCTTGTGTTCTTTTTCTATAATATAGTAATGGCATGTTGTCTAAGACGTCTACTTGACAAAGTGGTTAGGCTACCAGACTCGTAATCGTGAGGTTGCGGGTTCGGGGGTTCGAGCCGCGTGCCCGACATTGTATTCTTGGGAAAGGCACTCCGTACGAATTTTCCTCACTTCACCCAGGTGGGAATGTGGATTTGCGCTATACAAATGCTATTATTAGTATCTATTATTATTAAAGACAACCATTATTTATCTCCTCGACTTTAGGTGACCGTCGTGGTTGACTTCAACTGTACTTGTATTTCTGTTTCATTGTCCACTTAAGTTGTCTTCTTGTTCCTTTAATATTGCAGTGTATGCCAACCAATGTATAGCCAGCGTCCACGTTTGCCACCTTTTAGATACTAGAATTTTAAAACTGCCCACTTACAAGCATTTCCAAGCTAGGCATTAGATAATACCTGTCACTATCCGGGTGATCCCACCGTCCACCAAATTTACCAAATCGCTCTCCAATGGACAAATATCGCCCAATCTGGAAAACACTGCAATTATGGTGTTCATTTTGCTTGTCGAGTTGCGTGCACCAAAGTTATTTGTACTTGGCCTTTATTTACCCTTGTATACCACCTCCTTGACACGCCAAAACATGCACACGTACACACATGCCCACACTATCTATCTATCTATCTATCTATCTATCTATCTATCTATCTATCTATCTATCTA